TTCCACCTATCACCCTAAAGTATCAGATTTTGGTTTATCCAATAGTCCCAAATATTGGAGTGTAATACCCCTTCTCGTAATATTAACAATTACGAGTCAAAGATGCCACTATACTTTAAAAAAATAATTTCCTTATAACTCATTTTTCTTTTGTACCTTTAAAATTTGTAAGTGCCTATTTATTTATAATCATGCCAATACTATTAATGCATTTATATCATTAGAAAAATAACTAAATAAGTATGCATATCTATAAAATTAGTAGCCATAATAGGTAAAAAGGGTCATTTATAACACAAAATAGATATATCATATATACATGCCACTATATCCAAAAACATCATATAGGATGTCAAAACATACTATGATGCTTTGTGGATCCACCCCAAAAGCACAGATGCAAAACTGCTCACTTCACGGTCTTGTACCACTTATCTGTGCACAATTAAAACACACATTTAATATATAATAAAATATGACATAAACAACATAGATTTAAACAACAATATAATACATATCATCCATATAGTTTAGGCAACATGACTGTCTAAAATCATCTAAACAACATAACCATAAAAGGCATCTTTTCATCAATCTCTATAAACTACACAAATGTAAATTGTAAATATTTTATTCATTTCTTTCAATGCCCAAGCAATTTAAGATATATAAGGTAAGCAATTATACTATGCATCACACTAAACTATAAAATTGTACATCATTTCAAAAGATGAAATACTATGTATCACCCTGAAGGATGTAATAATATGCATCACCTTAAAAGGTGGAATACTATGCATCATCCCGAAGGATGGAATATTATGCATTATACCATAGTATGGAATCTGTACAATCATTAACTCTATGATACACCATTATACCAATCATTCTCTTTCAATATACTTGAGCAGTATATATAAACCTCTATAATATTTAATAGTTTGTAACATTTAAAAACTTATAACATTTAATACCTATGATCATGTCACATTACTTATTTATTAACAATATAACACCAATCATAATAGGGTAGTTCATACCCATTATATATACCAACATATACATTGCTTGTAATAATATATATGTAATACAATTTATAAATTTATCATTTGTCTCATAGATAGAATTACTACGATTCATAAAAAATATATATAATTAATATATAAGAATACAAAAATATGTACTTACCTTAGTACCTTCCCGAACTAACGTATACACCATTTATATAACACATACAATTCAAAATACATGTTAATAATCTATTCAAAAGGTAACATCATTTCTAGTCATTTTCATCATCAAATAATATTTATACATAAAACTCAAACTTTACAAAGTTGTCGGTTTGGTCACTTAGGCATTCAAACATGAATTTATTCTTCAAACATCATATCTAAGCACAAAGAACCATTTAATCTTCATATATAATCACTAATTCAAACAATCAATGTAAAACCCTACTTGAACAAAACTTTTTCTCTCTCCTATTTTCATTTAATTTTCATCACTTATTCAATTATGAAATTAGTAGAACAACGCCCAATTCATTATATCCAAACTTTAAATCTCATGAATCACCAAACCCTAAAACATGGAATCTTTCTACCCAATCATATAATACAAGAAAACCATAAAGTATTGGTGCCAAATGAAATAAAATTCAAAGGAGATCAATATTTCATGTACTAACCTTAAATCCAACTAAATTGGAAGGAAAAATCAAATAAAAAAATTGCACCTTAACTTTCAAACCCACGGCTGCCAGCTTGGCAAGAAGGTACGTTTACTTTCTTTCTTTCTTTTTTTAAACAATAGCTATATTATAACTAATGCTATTTTAACAATTTCAAAATGAAAGGACTATTTTATCTTTGAACATTTATGATCCATAACAAGTCGCATATCCCTTCTAAACATTCTATAGTTTATATTCATTCCATGGAATGTTAAAAAGATCATTTTTTCCATTAAAATAAATTTTAATGTCAATCTTATCCTTTTCGATCCAATGGTTCATATCTAACATGAGAAATTATTTTAATTTAATGACTAATACAAATCCTAAAATTAGGAAATGAAGTATTAGAATAACTTCTTAAGTTTTCTATTCGATCTATTTATCCGATAAAAAGAATTTCTTTGGATAAATTACCAAACGAATCTCTAACCTTTCCTAAAATTATACCTCAAACACAAACTTTTACCTTTCTTTTTATTTTGGTCACTTAACCACTTTTGGGGTATTACATGGAGATTCTTCAAGATCAAAGGAACAAGGGGTTAAATGGTGCCCGAGTGGGTTTATAATCTTCCCATCAATCCCAAAGTCAACATCTATAGTTATGGGATTGTGCTATTGGATATGATAACGGGGAAGAACCCATCTATAATAAGGTTTTGAGTTCGAGTCTTTGTGTATGCATAAAATCTCTGCTGGAAAACTCTTTCCACTAAAATTAAGTGTGCGATGCAGATTAATCCGAATTAGTCAAAAACCAAACCTTGAATTGAAACCGATAGTAGAACCAAAAAGAAAATTAAGAAAAAGGGAAGTCCAAGGTCATTTGGGTTTAGTTGAAAACAAGAAGGAAAAACCTGTGGATGGACCCATGGCTTAGGGTTCATGTGGATTTATATTGAAAGACAACCTACTCCTGCTTATAGGCGGCGGACAATCCCACTACAATAATGTAAAAGGTAAATTACTTATTTAGGTACTGACTTATTGTCATATTTTCGTTTGATATTTAACTATTTTTTGCTCAAAACTATACCCAATAATTAAATTATTAAACAATCACTGAAATAATAATACGTGATAAATCCGGGAAGTATCATGCTATCAACAACAAAATATTACAAAGATTTAAGAAAATAAAAAAAAAAAACTTATAAAAATCATTTAAAATTATCAAAAATATTAAAAAAATAAAAGTTTTTTAAATTATTAAAAAGAATTATGATGATCCTTCATTGATATCGATAAGTTGAAGTTTAGATCAACCATTGCATTATTTAGTAATTGTGATTATTTCCTGTGAATTAATAAGATTGGTACATTACGTTCTTTCTTTTTTAAATAGAATCGTTACGGTCGTAATTTTGTTATGAACTTTATAAAATTTCCATATGTTTCAGTCGTTTAGAAATAAATTAAATTGTACAAATTAAGTTATCTAGTAATTAAGAAAATTGTTATTATTTTTTGAGATCTTATATTTTAATATCATGTATATTAGAGGTATATACATTCAATATCAAATGATCTAGTTTTTTATTTTATTTTTATTGTATAAAGAACGTGATTTAAGGGATTGAATCAAACTGTATTTTCTAATTTTAGCTCTGTTTTGAATTTTCTAAGTTTGTCCTATATTACACACGTTTAAGTTTTTATGTGATTTTTTTTTTAAAAAAACTTCATATATATTGATTTGTAAATAAGGTGATATGTTTTATTCTTTTAAGAAAAAAAATCTTATATGAATAATTTTGTATTGTATGTTAAAATAATTTTGAAAATTATTATATTTGTCATCATCTTAAAACTTTTGTGAAATTATTTTTACACATAAGATGTATTAAATTATAATTCTTAATATATATAATTTTTATTTTTTATTAAACTAAGGTGATAACAAAGTAATATATGTTCTAAATACTATTAACCATTTAACAATGAACGTTCAATCACCCTTGCAGTCGTAGGTGTTCGAATCTATAACCTCTAAAAATAATAATGGTTCCTTTAACCACTAAGGAAAATTGATTTGTATGACAATTTCCTATTTCTAAGTGTATTAACGATTCTGATATTAATTAAATTATGAAACTATCAAGTGTTATTGAACTAAATCGATTATAATTGAGCACCATTATAATAATTTTGATTATAATTTAAAGTGATTAATAGTTTCCCATTTTAATTTTTAATAGCCAATTATGACATATCATCGTATATATGAAAATTTTACTTATTTTCCTATTTAATAATGCTAATAAAAGGAAGTATTAATCTTCTTAAAAGGACTTGTGTTCGAGTAACTATGTTTAAAGGATATGTCATAAAATGGAACAAGATTGATCGCGAGCTATTCGAGATCGACTCGGTCAACTCTTGAATTTGAGTTTGAGCTTCAATCGAGCCAAGTGTAAGAATATTTTGAGTTCGATTTTTTTTTCGAGTTTGAGTAGAGCTTTAATTTTTTATTTCGAGTTGAGCTTGAAAATTTTAAGCTCACGAGCTTTTGAGAGTCGAGCTTCAATTTTTTATTCCGAGTTCAAGTCGAGCTAAACAATTTTAAGCTCGTGAGTTTTTTAGTCGAGTCTAGTTCAGTTTTACACTTTTTGAGTCGAACTGAACTCAACACTGCTCGAGCTGAACTCATTTACAACCCTAGGGTGTGTTATAGATAATTAAGAAAATTTCAAACAAATATTTTTTAAATCATCACGTACTATTAAAAATAATAATGTTAATAACCCATAGAATTTTTTTAATTCAACAATTATACAATATAATTGCATTATTTATAGTAACTATGGAATATAATTGAATTTGAAGGCCATAAAGATCAACAGCATCCCGTGATAGATAGCAATGGAATTTTCTCATTTTGCAATGCAACATTTTAGGAATAGATTGATCTAAGAGCAATATATTATTTGACTTAAATATATCATAATTAAAATTAGGCATAATATATTTTGACGACCTTGTCGATCATCAATGGCTTTCAACATGTTGATTTCTTGCAAGTTTTGGTCTCAAAAAGACCCAATAGGACCATCACATATAACTGTTATCATCAAATTGTGAATTAATTCTCCTGTTTTTCCCATTTTAACCTTTTCATTGCAAGTTGCAACGATCGTGAATTAAAAATGAGATGCAACTTTTGTTTTTGTAGTGAAAAGAATAACTTAAGTTCACACTCATCCTACTTCCCTATTTAAAGCTTTACAAGATTCGCCATCATCTTCAGAAAAGATTGCTTCCCATGGCACCCCATCATATCAAACTCCTCTTTATTTGCCTCTCTTTCATCTCTGTGAACCTGGTACAAGCCGACAACTATATTATTCACATGGACCTATCCGCCATGCCCCAAGCATTCACCGGCCGCGAAAGCTGGTACATGTCCACCCTTTCATCTTTATCAGCTAACACCAACGCAACAATCCCCACTGCTAAACTTATCTATAGTTATAACCATGTTATTCAAGGTTTCAGTGCGAGTCTCACACCGGCTGAACTTGAGGCCTTGAAAAACGCTCCGGGTTACGTTTCTTCCGTTAGAGATAGACCCGTGAAGCTCGATACTACTTACTCTTTCAAGTTTATTGGCTTGAATTCCCATACCGGTGCATGGCCGGTCTCGGATTTTGGCAAAGATGTCATCATTGGAGTGGTTGATACTGGGGTTTGGCCTGAAAGTGAAAGCTTTAATGATGAAGGAATGACTGATGTTCAGGTGAAATGGAAAGGGGATTGCGAGAGTGGCACCGAATTCAGCTCTTCACTCTGCAACAAAAAGCTAATTGGTGCAAGGTCTTTCAATAAAGGTTTGATTGCCACCAATCCCAATATCACCATTTCAATGAATTCTACACGAGACACTGCAGGACATGGGACTCATACTTCATCAACTGCTGCCGGAACCTACGTGAAAGATGCTTCCTACTTTGGTTATGCCAACGGAACCGCCCGAGGAATGGCTCCAGGTGCTCGAGTTGCCATGTATAAAGTTTTTTGGCGTGAAGGCTCATACACGACAGACATAATTGCAGCCATCGATCAAGCGATTACAGACGGTGTCGATGTTCTTTCGATGTCATTTGGCATTGATAATCTTCAACTGTATGAAGACCCCATCGCAATAGCCACATTTGCTGCCATAGAGAAGAACATCTTCGTTTCTACATCAGCAGGAAATGCAGGACCGGGTTTGGGGACCCTACACAATGGAATCCCTTGGGTTTTAACTGTGGCTGCCGGTACATTGGATCGAACCTTCGGCGCAAGTATAAGTCTCGGAAGTGATGTTTTTGTCAATGGTGCGGCTCTTTATCCTGCGAATTTCTCTTCAAGCCAATTCCCAATTGTTTTCATGGACGCATGTGATGAAACAAGTGAATTGAAGAAACTTGCAGGAAGCATTATTGTTTGCCAAGATCCGGGCAGGGAAGATTCACTCAGTTTCCAATTTGACAACGTTCAATTTGCGGGGAATGTGGCTGGTGTCTTCATAACAAATAGCACCCAATTGGATATATTCATTCAAAGCCCTTTCCCGTCTATTTTCTTGGAACAAAAAGACGGCGATGTTATCAAGCGTTACATTAAAACCAACAAAAACCCAAAAGCCAGAATTGAGTTCAAAAAAACATTCCTGGGTTCCAAACCTTCACCGACTGTAGCTAGCTATACATCTAGAGGACCGTCCTTCAGTACCCCATCGGTTCTCAAGCCTGATATTATGGCCCCTGGTGACTTAATCCTAGCTGCTTGGCCGTCCAACATCGCAGTGGCTCGTCTCAATAACGAAACGATGTTCTCTAACTACAATTTTCTGTCGGGAACATCCATGGCATGCCCCCATGCTTCGGGAATTGCTGCACTTCTCAAAGGGGCACATCCGGATTGGAGCTCCGCGGCAATCCGTTCTGCCTTGATGACTACGTCAGATCCCATCGATAACAACGGCAGTCCTATCAAGGATACCGGCAACGGTTTTGGACCGGCCACTCCTCTAGCCATGGGAGCTGGCCATATCAATCCCAACAAAGCACTGAATCCCGGACTCGTATACGATTCTACTGTTGAAGATTATATCAAATTTATTTGCGGTCTAAATTTTACGGCACAACAAATCAAAACCATCACGAAATCATCTTCAACCAACTGTTCCGACCCTTCGTTAGATCTAAATTACCCTTCTTTTATAGCGTATTTCAATGGAACAAATGTGACAGCGGATTCGAATACAACGTGGGAGTTTGGAAGAACTGTGACTAATGTTGAAAAAGGAAGCTTCATCTACAAAGCAACATTGACACCAATCAAGGGATTTAAGGTAACTGTGGAACCAGACACGCTGGTGTTCAAGGAATTAAACGAGAAGAAAAGCTTCAAGCTGAGGATTGAAGTTCCACCAAAGCTTGACGAGGAAGTGTCTTTTGGTTATCTCACTTGGGAAGATAGTCAAGGAAAACATGTTGTTAGAAGCCCCATTGTCGCCACAAGTTACACCATAGCCAATTGATAAACTCTTGTTTTTCAGACATGTAATAAGTTTAGATGTTGATTTTTTTTATACATTATATGAAGGATATTCCATATATTATTATTTGGATTTGAGAATAACTATTCGTCAATTGAAGTATATTTATTAAGGTTTTGTACACATTTATATATATTGGACTTAGATTTAACGTCCAAAAAAATATTATATTATTTTTTAAAAAATACTTTATGGAAAGAAATAGAAACATTTTATAATACTATTAACCTTCAATTATTAATATATGATATTATTAAACGAGAAATAATTGGAGGAAAGAAACATAAAAGAAAAGGCTCGAAAGAGTAAATCATGAGCAACTAACATTCGAACAATAATTTTGTAAGACTCCTAAAATCCTATCTATACGTGATTTTAATCCATGCAAAACTAAAAGTGAATAATGACACTTAAATTGCAAGCAATTCAGATTTCGTAACTACTTGTATTATAATGCACTCATCTAATCGTTGATGATCAAGTTGTAACATTCACTCAACACAAATCATATATAGATTAATTCGAAATTAGCTAAAGTCCAAATTAATTAAATTCAGTTATATATGTTTTTTTTGTTTTTTTCAGCTGTATGAGGTTTTGCTTTACACTTTCAACAGCAAAAGACATTAACAAAAATCTTAGAAAATCCAGGCATCGGAGGATTTCTCACGTTTTTAGGTCCATTTTGTTGTTGTTGAGGAGAGATGTAAAGGGAAACCGAAGAGGATAGACATGTATCAAAACCTAAGACTTTATTATGTCATCAATATGTGTCAAAGCCTAAGACGATTTGATCTTATGGAGAGGTGTGATCGAGTTTCGAAATGGCATATTGTGTTTGTCTACAATGTGAGTAAAAGGTTTCCCTCTGAAACTCTCAAGGAGACGTTTCAGGCATATGGAGTCGTGACCGATGTGTACATAGCGTATAAAAGTATAAGAAGATTCACAGGCAGTTCTACTTTTGCTTTTGTTAGATTCAGAAGCAAACATGAAGCAGATTCAACAGTCCGTAGGGCAGATGGCAGGATCCTGGATGGATTTAAGATTAGAGTCTTTCATGATAACATCAGAGCATCTAAGAACGAGAGGGCTAAGGTAGGCAGATCCTTTAGGAAAGTGTGGAAGACATCGTCAAGGGTCTCCAGGTCTTTCAAGGAAGTACTTGGTGGGTCGTAGTTTGTTGAAGGAAGGGCACTTGAAGCTGCTGATAATATTCAACATGCTATTAAAGCAAGTTCGGGTAATGTGATTCATGTTACGATTGATGAAGAATTAGTCTCAACACCAAAATAAAAAATCGATAAGGAATGTTTGAATATTTGCATTTCGGAGAAGGAGGTTATGTGGAGAAAATCTTATCGGGTTGGAAAATAAAAAATATGTACAATGAAGACATTATTCATACAACCTTCAGTGCTAAAGGGTTCGAAGTACAAGTTAGTATTTGGCATGAGTTGTTGGTTGTCATTCAATTTAAAAATGAAAATGATCGTTTGGAATGCTAGTCTAATAGAGAGGTATGGGTTCATCGTTGGTTCGACGAGCTGGACATGCTGGAGGGCTATGAAAATAAAATTCGAATTAAAGTTTGGGTTTCCTTGATGGACGTTCCTCTAGCAGTGTGGAGTGAGAAATTTTTCATGGATTTGGGAAGCTTGTGGGGCAAAGTGTTATTGGTTGATGATGACACCTGTAATCGGTGTAGATTCGATGTAGCAAAGATTTTGATGGAAGCTCAATATGTTTCAGACATTCCAGAGAAAGTTTCTATTGTCTTCAATGGAAGATTATTCTCCATTAAAATCTCAACTGAAGTTCACGAAGAGCTTCGAGCGTTCATTGATGACTCGCTTGCTGGTGGTGGAGCGAGGCGTTCAGTTACTGAGGAAGCTAGTGAAGGTCCTCTGTTCGAAGAGGTATGGATTGTTGGATTTAGTCCCCAGACAGAACGTATTGTGGTACCTATGAATGCTTCACTCTGTCAGAGAAGTGACACTTTTAATGTTTTGGAGGTAGTTAGTATGGAGCACGTGGTTTCTAAGGCGGATATGTGCACTGCTTTCGAAGTCAATATGCATGATGTACCGAGTTTGTCTAATGATGGGCTCGAGAACATGTCTATTGATGATAGTGTTGGGCTTTTGGCATTAAACAAAGACGTTGAATTATGGCAGACCCAGTCATTATCTATCAGTTCAAGGCTTTTGGAGATCCCGATTATAGAGGTTTCTTCAACCAGAGTAGTGGATGAGGGGTTTTTATTTAAGTCTTCTGATAGGGTTACTTATGTTAAATATAGTGAAAAAGATCGGTCTAGTAGAAAAAAGAAGAAGAAGAAATTTGGTTCTCTTTTGGATATTCAAGACAAAGTCCTATCGAAAGCTGAGAGAAGAAGAAGAGATCGAGCGTTGAAGAGATTTAATTTGTTGAAATCTGATTTAATCTCCTCTGAATTATCAGGCAGGTCTCTTTCAGATTCGGATTTGAAGAAAAGATGGGTTGTTGCTTATGTTGGAGCGGAGGAGACTTTGTCTTTAGGTAAGAATTCTGGAATTAAGCTTGTTGGCTATTAAAGTGATGTTCTCAAGTCACCAGAATTGTGTTGAGTTTGGAGCGTGAAAGTTAGGGGTTGTCTAAGGTTTTGGTCTATGAGACTTTTGATGTGGTTGTTAAGAGGATTTGGAGTTGAATTTTAATTAGTATCTTAGTGTAAGGTTATTTGTAGATTGTTTGAATTGTTAGTCTGTATTGTTGTGGGTTCTAGTATTTATGGTTGGCAAGTTAATTTCTGGTGGTTTTCTCCAATTGTAAAGATCTCTCACATTTTTTTAGGATCTTTTTCTTAAGGTAGTCGAATTTTGGTTAGAATAGTTTCGATGTCTCAAATGGATCTCTAGATCTTTTGATTGTTTGGAGAGTTAGTTGTAGAATTGCATGAGGTATTTGGAGGCATAAGTTCGGTCTTTTTAGCTTGTCCAAGGGGAACCAATCACTGTTTTGTTTTTCAAAATAGAGTTTGTTTTATGTGCAAAGTGATGATTGTTTTAGGGCAGGATTTAGATGTTATTTTAGTGTTGTTCTGAAGCATCCAAAGTGGAGGAGCATCAAGTTTGGTATTTTCAGTTTCAATGGAGCATTTAAAGGAAGCGGTTCATGTTATGCTTGTCATTTGCATTTTTGTTGTTCTGCTTTCGATATGTCTGTTCTCTTGCTTTAGCTGTAGTAGCAAGACTTTTCAGCACAATTTCCAACACTTGTGTTCAGGATTTAGAAATGAGTGGTTTTTGTTTTAGTGATCTGCTGATGTGTGAATTTTGGATTCTGTCCATTGGTGTTAGGGAGTGACTGTATTTTGGATCCTGTTATTTGGTGTTACGTCTTGCGTGCTGGGTTGAAGATTGATGAAGGCATGGTGTTATGTAGTGTTTTAGTAGGTTTGGTGAATCTGGTTTTTGTTGTTGTTCACATACTTCCCATTGCTGCTGTGTTCGTTTGTGATCAGTTTTCGCTGTCCATCTTGTTCTATTTTTTTACTGCTGCATGGAATGTGTATTGGTGTTACGTTGAGTTGGGTTGTGGCTTGGGGTTTGTATTGTTTGTTGCTAGAGCTATATTTGTATTCGATCCTCTCCACCTTTTGGTTCACTATTTTTCTTTCATTTAGGGTTAAAGAGGTTTTTTAAAGAGGTCATTGATGTGGTGTACTTTGTATTTGTTTATAATACAAAGTACTCTCTTTCAAATAAAAAGATGAGATGAAAAGTGGAATTCATTCTTTCACAATTATTCCTTTTAAAATATTGTAAAAATTTGATGTTAATATTCGTTTAAACAATCACTTTGACAATTATTTTATTAATATATTTTATATCTCCATATTTTATTTTAAGGTAAAATAATTTATATTTAAATAAATGTTTTTGGATAATCTATTTGTAGGGGGTGAGTAAAACACGACACGACTCAAAAAATCAAACTTTTTCAATTCGAGTTATTCGAGTCAACTTGAATTTTCAATTTGGTTTTCGAGTTCGATTCGAGTTGCAATTTCAAAATTTCGAGTAACTCAAAAAGTAAAAAATTTGAATGAATATTTTAACAGATTTGTGATTTGGTCCCTGCTTTCTTATCCCTTTAATTACTCCTTCATTTTAAGTCAAATTTTCACCAAATTTGAACAACATGCTCCTAAACCATCATAGAATACATATGTACTTTTAATTCCAATTTTGATAACAAATTTTATATATTTTCAATTTAGTCCCTCAATATTGCATGATCTTTGCATTTCTTCAATTCATCCTTAATTTTAAATACATTTTTGGCCAAATTCAAACCACATGCTCCCCTACCACTATAGAATACCTATATAACTTCAATTCTTTCTTTCTTCTTTTCTAAAAATTTACTATTGATTTAATTTAGTCATTTAACTTTGCATTTTACTCAATTTAGTATTTTGACTATAATTGTTTACAAATTCTTTCTTCATATCATTTCTTTGACTTCTTTATACTCCCATTAATCTTTTATGCTCAAAATAACTTCTTTGCAATATAATAGTGTAAATATATTTTTATAATTTCAGATTGTATGTGATATATTAAATAACATTGTAATGTGAAAAGAATATGAAGAAATATATATATATATATATATTATATGATTAAAGAAAGTAAAAAATTGAAACAAATTTGTACTATAATACTATAAATGATTACAATTAAATTTGTATAGAAACTCGAACAACTTGACTCGACTTGGAAAATTTTCAAGTTAAGTTCGAGTTATAAAATATGACTCGTTAACTAAAATAACTTGAAATTTTTTTACTCGATTCGATTAAATGCTCAACCCTAGCTATTTGTTATATATTATCCAAAAGAAAGCAGGAAACCTGCTACAACCAGATTACAAAGCAAAGGGTCACCCAAACAAAACTAAGATATTCCCTAAGCATCACAAAGTCTAGAATTTAGAGGGTTCAAAAAATCAT